GTGTAACGGGCTGAACGCCCTTCGCCTCCCATACTCGTCTACGACCTCGTTTACTCCACCTGCCCGGCCCGATTGTTACCCTAGCAACCAGCATTGTATATAGATAGCTACGTAGCCGAGAGCTTAGCTCTCTATCGAATACAATCTTGTTACCTTGGCCTGTCCGATCGTGCTCCCGAGCTTAAGACTACCCTCCGGGGTCGAGCCCCTTACAATAATAGACAAAAGTAGTAAGAAAGTGACAATAATATAAGATTTTAACAGATACTTAATCAGTTTAGACTATGATAGTAAGTAGTATTCAAATGCTAATACAGAAACTTAGTGGTTCTAGCCTTTGGAAATACTCGAACTTCAGCTACTGAAACCTAGGTAATAATTTTTCTAGTGAATCGCGAAAGAGAAAGGGTATAACTTCTATCCTCAATCCTATCCTCAATCCCTGACAGGATTAAGGTCAAAATCGACCTTAATCCCAGATTTCTTGGCGACTTTGCAGACCTTAATCCTGCAGAAAAGGATTAACGTACCCCACGGGTTCGCGAGCCACACGGGTTCGCGAGCCACTTTTGCCAAGCCCTCACCAAAACTAGTACATTATGTCCTAAAACAGCCCAACTTTAGCTAATATAGTGCAATAAAATACAAAATGCTATTTAGAGACTACTTCTGCTACATTCTTACAAGTTCGCGCGTTATGCCTAGTCCTATTGCACTGTCTACACCGCCGTTGAGACGGTTCACCCACTTCAGCGCGCTTCTGCTTCTTTAACTTCTTCTTATCACTACGCACCCTAAAGTCCTAGAGAGTAGTTAAGCGCGCCCTATCTTTAACTGTCAAGGTCCCCTCCGCCTAAACCCGCTTTCTTTTATGCAATTTTCGTCGCGTTGCGGCCTTATTTGCTACTTTAAGCTTAGCGATCTCTTTTTGCGCCAACACTAGCTTGTGCGCGATAATCGCTGCCCCCTTTGAGACCTTTTTAAAGGCCTCTACAATAGACGTCGGCGAACTATTCGTATGCCTCTGAATCCTCTGCTTTACTAGCGTCGATTGCGACCCTAATTCTAGGGTATCGCTAGGCGTTTGCGACACCTAGGGCTGGTTGTTGATAGGTAGGGGTGATGGAGTGCGTAGCTTGATATTAATCGTTGATATAACCCGTTCTAGGTTAAATAGGACCAATCTAGCGCCTTAAAACCCTCCTTGGACATTGCTAGCTGTAAATGAGGCGTTAAAAGCCCGCTTAAAGCAAGATAGGAACTCTTGTTTGGTGATGTGGCTAATCTGGCTGCGTATGAGCGATTCGACTTGGCGCCCATAG